AAATCATGCCATAGCTAGAAGGAAAACTTTGTCACCATCGGATTCCTCGCACCATTGCTCGTCGAATGATATGTAAAACGAGTGAGTAACGGCTGGGGAAAGGCAAGATTTAACACAAAACTTGATTTTGCCCCCCCCCCCAACCGAAAAGGTCTGGCGACGCCTATGGCTCTACTACTGCTAAATCAAAGTCCCGCGCCGTGGGATTTTCAATAAAGATTTGGAGGGCAAAGGAAAGATTCCAACTGGGCCTCGGCTAAGGAATTTTGACTGGTGGGCCACTTGGGCAGCGACATGGACTGACCTTCGTAGCCATAGCCCCCCCCCCCCAATTTTCGATTTCTCCCCAGATTTCGGCCACTTTATTCCGCAAAAAACGTCAGGATGGCATTTAAAAAATGTAGAAAAAAAACGGGGCTCGACCCCCCTCCCCCGACTCTTCAGAGAGGAGAGAGTATAAGGGACCCACAACCCTCTCAGTGGTGATACTCCGGCGGTGCACATAAAATCGCACAAGTATGCACAAAATATTGACGCAGATTATAAAACTTTGGACGATAGCTTACGGCCGGTCGGATGTTAAAAATCAGCGAGCCCTGAGTGGATCGCTCGCCGACTATAAAGGAGATTCGGAAGCGGTCGGACGGGATCGGGCGTTGTCGGGTGGATTGGGAGGAATTGTGAACAGCACGAGTGCAACTTTATATATAAAGTGGGTTGTAGCAGGAACCCCAAAAAGGGGTTGTAGCAGCAACCCCAACATCTCTGAAAATGATCATTTACATAAGCCTATTGGTGTCGCATGGAAAAGAATTGACTCAAAAGCCCAAGCGCACTGCGCAACCCTAATATTGTTTTTTTAAAGTTATGTACACTTCTGGTGAACAGTTCCCATACCTGCTACATTGCATGATTAAATCGAGACATCCAGGCATTTTAATGGCACGTGCACTGTACCACACTGTTTAATGCAGTGCTTTAATATTGCCAGCCATGTGGTTCAAGGGGTGTGGTTAAACGCGTTGAACCACACGGCTGCTGACGTCACTATCAATTATAGTTGTGAGCTTTTTGGCAGGTATGGGAAACACCTTCCAGCCCTAAGGCCGGGAATTCAATAAATGTCACCTCGCTTTTTTGCGAAAAGCAACTCGGGCCTAACGGCCCTCAGAGTTTTCGCTAAAAAACCTCGGTGACATTTATTGAATCATCCCGGCCCCGGGCAGGAATATATTGTCCCAAACTTCAGATTTCTCTTGGGTGTCTGAGTGGAAAATTCTAGCCACCCGAAATGTGAGAGTGGAAAATTATCCATTCTTATTCTTGAGTGTCATCTTCAGCCCAAATGAGAAATTTTTGGAACGCTGACTGTGAACGGTTCGAAATTCGTCTGACTGGTCAGATGTGTGACTGCAAGCATCATACCGGTCGTGAAGACGCATAATATCGCTTGCAGACTTCAATCGGCTGGAAGTCGCCGACACTACCTCTAGTTTGACTCTCGCTTATATCGTGTCTATCGGCGAGCCGTCTACTCTGAGATCGCTCGCAGGCTTATCCCCGACCGTCTGAACTGGTCTGTTCTTTATTCGTAGTTTTTCTTGTAACCGACTGCTCTGCGGCAGATGCTTATGTGACTGCAACCACTCGATCGATCGGAAAGCTTGCAAGAACTCTCGCAGACCTCGATCGGCTGGAAGCCGCCGACACTATCTGTAATTGACAGAGGCAGACGTCTATCACGATTATTGCATAAAATTTTAAGCCTCGGTCACACTTCACCGGATTGGACCAACGGACGAGAAACGGACGAGAACTGTCAGCGTCCGGTGATGTCCGTTTGTTTCCGTTGGACGTCCGTTTGTCTGTCGAAATCAAAGTAAAAATCATACAGCACAGACGTATAGGTGGTGGATTTTTTTTTTTTAAGTTGCGGGTACTACAGTCCACTTTTTACCCCAAGGGGATATTGTAAACAATAGGTTGAAGTTTTTCACAAGAATATGTTTCACCGATGGGTACTTAACAGCCTGAAAATGTACGATAAGATCTGCTAATTCAATGTGAAATGTGAAAAATGTGAAAACTTAGATTTTTCGGAAAATTACTGGTGGGCCAAATCTTGGAGGCTGGTGGGCCATTTTGGGTCACTGGTGGGCCATTTGGCCCACCAGTTAACATGTTAGCCGAGGCCCTGGATTCCAACAGGTCTGTTGGCAAGTGAGGTGAATATAGCAACGCACAAAACTGAGGTAAAAATGATAATAATAAGGTCAGGTAAAGTGAGTGGTGATGCGTAGGGACCTTTCACCTCTCACGCTCCAAGAATTATCTCGCTCAGAACTAAGTCTCACATTTCTAATTGAGGTAGGAACACGAGACTATGCGGCCATATGTTTTCATATGTTATCCTGTTACCTTTTTCTTTTTAACACATGAGTTCGGACTGGTATGATGATATCCACCGGCGGCTACCGGCCCAATTACCTATGGGTATTATTAGTGTCCCTGGTGACTGTATCACTGTATCAGGGCGATAAAGTTAATATCAGCCAAACATCAAGAGATGGATATGGCTTCATCACGCCTAGAATATACTGAACTGTGTGCATTTGAGATGTCAGTTTCCAGAATAAAAACAGGGGCTACAGCGTGCTAAATCACACTGCCTTTGACGGGCCTTGCTTTTTATACCGAACAGAGCGAAGGTCTTAGACACGTTGTGATAAATTTTATCCCATGCTCACTGTCTCATTACTACGCAGTGATGTGTCTGTATTGACCTCCTCCAGTCTTTTTCGCACGAGTCTTACAAAAGTTGCACTTGTGATCTGTCTCTGCACTTGTGTCACTCAGCCCTGCAATGATATGGCTACTTTACTGTAAACACGGACGGCCCATCGTCCCTGACCTGTCCTAGCTCCTCTCCCACTCAACACGAGAGCCTGAGTGTGAAGAAACGAGCGTTCACATATCACGATCCGCCACTTCTCGCCCGCTGCCTAGGTCAACAGTTTTCACTTGCGTCGCCTGGGTATCGTACGAGCGAGCGAGCGAGCGGCGCGGCGGCGTGCGCGGCTGGGTGGCTCGCGTGACCTTGAGGGTGCTGGCCGCGACCTTTCCCCTCCTTCCCTCCCTCCTCCGTACGGTAGGGAGCGGCAGAGCTGGTGGTCGCCCTGCCGACCGCAGGTGAATGCGTGTGTAAGGCGGCTACCGGCTAGCGTATGGTGAAAAATTGGCATCTTTTCCGCACCGTACTAGATTAGAAGTCCTCCAGACTCTCAGACATTGCTTCGCATTTGTTTACTTATTAGTACAGAAGTACTTACAGTTCGGTAGGCTGAAAATACCGATACCCACTGATGGCGACGGAGATGGTTGTCAGTGCTTTTGATTATATGTCGAATGCAGTGACGCCTTCTTGCAGGACTAATGTGCCAATTCAGGCATAGGCAAGTTACATCCGTGTTTCTAATATGGTCGGTGTCAGCGTCAAGAAGCGTATGCCATTTGCTATGTCAAAAACATACTTGTTGCATAATTGTAATATTGGTTTCAAGATAACGGTTCTTACGACTAGCAGTTGAAACGTGATACCCAAGTTCCGACGATTCATATGATCACAGTTTACCGGTCATGTTACGTTAACACCGTGCCGGCCCTATAAATACCATCAAAGCGGTAACTTATTTGGATGGGCTGTATCTGTCGGAGATGTGGCATATCTGGCAAAGTTTGTTGCATATTAAACTCAGCCCATCTCAGAGTGCTATATACGGTGTAAGGTGACCAGTGACCATAGCCGGTTTTACCTCATTGTTTGTGTACGAAATAACAATTATACAATAATAATTACCATTGTTAATAAACCCCTACGACCAATAGTCCCTACGCCATTCATTCGTGCATTGAGGTATATAATTCACTTAACTTTTCACTGATTTAGCAGGTCTTATTGTATAAAAATTACAGCCACCATTTAGGTGGCTGCTATGCGTATGCGGTCAGTAACCTTCACGCCTCCATGCGTACGCCGTCTGCATATCTGCTGAGTAGCACGATATGACACCGTATTAGAGTGAGCGATAAGCACGGCTGCATATCTGCAATGTTGCTCGATATGGCACATTAATATTAATGTCGCTGGGCTAGCAGCCTCAGCAGACGCTGCAGGCGGTGAATCACTAGGAGTGGCGAGCTCGCCGGCCGTGGCGACGTTTTTAAGAAGAGAAGAGAGGTCTGGGAATGTATTTATTGTCTTATATTAAGCATGCTCTATCCGTTCATAATATGAGGTGGATGTAAATGGATGTGAAATGTCCATTGCTCATCCATGCAGCCAAAGGTGAAATAATCTGAATTGGAGCACGTTTTCTTCAGCCTGTCGAGATAATTTGCCCAGAGTTAATTCGATTCTGTTCATTCGAGTTCACTGCCCTTATGTAACATGGCCCTATCACAACATCCTGAATATTCTGGCGTGGGAAGATCATTAGTATGCCGACTTGACTTACGCCTTGGCGACTCCGGCGTAATTTTGAGCGAGAATAGGAAGGGAACCTTGGCGTCTCCTCTGACCGACCGTGACTGCTCAGAAGGCAAAAAGTTGTCCTTGTTCGAGGCGATGATGTAACGTGGCGCTACCGCATATGAGAGGTGACTTCCGACCTTGACTTGTTATTTCTGCCAGCTGATGTGTAAGATATCATTGGTACTACCAAATAGGTATATATATTCTGGTCGGAGATGCCAGGAAAAACTGGGTCTCTTTTTTAGTACCGTGATTGTGATACATTTGGATGCATTTCACTTTCCTTGCGAAGTTCCGAATATAACATTGTCTCACGGATTGTAGCACTTGAGTGCCGTCCGTTTCCTTTACCCGACTCTTTTCCATTGCCCGTTGTCCCCCTCCCCGTCCACCCCCCCCCCCCCACACACACACTCACACTCACAAACTTCTCCGGACCGATCGCTCCCCCTCTCCCCCTCCCTTCCAGACGTGGAGGTATCGGAGACGGGCGCTATCCGCTCGGCGCGGCAGCTGCAGCAGTGTACGGCCGAGATCCAGAACCTGCTGCTGGCCGCGCTGAACCGCGCCGTGGCTGGCCAGCTAGTCGGCAGCGTCGACTACATGCAGGAGAGGCTGGTGGGCACCCTGCAGCGCTGCCTGCTCTCGTTGGAGGCGCATGATGATGGTGGTAGCGGAGAGGCCAGCAATGCCCTCAAACAGGTACGGTGGCCGGCGATGGGGTGTAGAGGAAGAAGGATTTCAGGGCTGGATGAGGGTAGGGGCTAAGAGATGTGAGGATGTGTGGACCTGGACCTGGATATGCACATTGCACCACATTACACATTTGCTGCGGAGAATATGGTCCGTGGATACTGTAGAGCTGCTCTATCTGATGTTAGCTACCTACATGATCAAAAGCAAATGTTCACCGGTTTCCTAGAGAAAAACGTAAACATCATTTAGCATGTGAAATGTTTACGTTTACGTAGCATGTGAAGTGATGTTAACGAAAGCATTTAGCATAATATTACGGTCAGGATAAATTCCGCCGCCTCGGCATTCGATCGCGTATTCCACCATCCCCGTGTTCGACCACCGTCTAACGTAACCGTTGCCGCTCCGCGCAGATCCTGAACTCGGCGTACAGTCTGGAGATCTCTGTGGAGACCTCGTCCAGCGTCATCACCTCGCTGTGGGAGTGGCTGAAGCAGCTGCTGGACGTGATGCCCTGGAAGACGCCGCCCTGCGTGGACGCCCTCTGGCGCCGGAAGGTGGCCACTGAGATGCTGGATAACATCAACGAGCTCCGACTGAGCAGGGTCATCTGCTCACAGGTGAGGGGTGGGACCGTGGTAGGGGCACTCTGACGGCCGGGTAGGGTGCGCGCACAGTCCGGACAAAGCTTCGCTCGTGCGGGGTGGCATGTTCCTAGCTTATATAAGTGGTTTCTTATTTGTCAGTCTTGCTATTTTAGGCACGAAACTGTACCCGGATCTTGAGAGACGCTATTCCACTCGGCTGACTCACTTTGTCTCTACAATGATTCTCTGTTGCTTCGAATTTCCTTGTGTGCAGTGTCTACATTTCCTATCTGCAATGTCTACAGTACATCTTCCATCGCCGATGAAGCCTCTACAGCGCACCATTTTCTATCCTATCCCCATCTAACCGCTCCCCTATGCTTTCTACCAGCTCCGCGACCGTCTACGGAGGGCTCACGAGGCGTTTGTTCGCTCCATCGGCCGGCTGGAGGCGCAGCTCGACGGCCGACTGGAGCAGACCGAACGCGACCGGCTCCGTATGAAGAAACTGCACGCGCCACACGTGGCCCGGCTGGCGCTACAGGCGGCCGCCTATGTGGACGCCGCCCGATTCGGTGAGCGAGGAGGGTGTAGCTCTCAGTGTTGTGGGCAAAGGTTTGATGCTGGACGGTCATGGAGGAGTGAGAGAGACTGGAGATGTGATGCGGAGGACACTAGGAGGACCTCAGCTGGAGGACCAGCTCTGGAGATGTGGGCAGTACGACGTTGTGTATATTTGTGTCTGTATGACTGTATTTCAATGAGTTCCGGATTATCCTAGCTTGCCTGGGAAATCGGTCTTGGTCGTTATGCTGAGGTATACTGTCTGCGACCTGTATGCCTGTCTGCGTGTGTAGGCGTGTACTTCAGCCCGCCCGGGCGATGGGCCACGGCCAGTGCAGTGCTTTATTCAGACTGTGATCTGTTTGTCTGTCCGTGATTTCAGGCGTGCCTCAGTTGGCCCGGGAGATCGGCCGCGGCCAGTACGGCGTCGTGTACAGCAGTGGGGAGTGGGCCGGCCGACGGGACTGGGCGGTGAAGTCGGTCATCCCGCCCGACGACCGACACTGGAACGACCTGTCCATGGAGTACTTCTACACCAGGTCACACATGGCGGATGGCGCTTATCGGCTGGACAACCAATAGAAACATTTGCAATCGGCTATCGGCTTTTCAAAGGAGTTATACAAATTTTAAGCGCTCGTTTAGCTGTTTGCACGCCTGTGTGATTCTGAAGTCAGCATGATCGCATGAGCTGCTCGCAAACAATGTTGTAAATTAGCAGCTCATGCATCCCAATAATTTGTGTGTTTCTATTGCCACTATGTTATCAGTAAGAGTTGCGACATTGTCATATATTGATGTACATTGTACAGTTGTACACTTTGCAAATTCAGTAGTGATTTTGATGTCTACAATTATGTCAAAGCTTTCCGTTTAGGTTGTGGCGGTGACTTGCACCATTAGCTATTCTTCCATGTTGATCCCCGTTCCACACATTTTGTCTCCGCGTTGTCAAGCGTTTGTTCCGCTGTGTAACGCTCTCTCCCTTCCATCAGATCTCTGCCCGACCACGAGCGTATCGTCAACATCCGGGGGCTGGTGATCGACTACAACTACAGCCACAGTCGCATGTCCGCCGCGCTGCTGCTGATGGAGAGGCTGCAGACGGACCTGTACCTGGGCATCCAGGACGGGCTCGATCTGCCCACCCGGCTGCGGGTGGGTATACTGATGCTGACATACTGGTACACTGACACATTGACACACCGACACCGACACACTGCAGACTAACACTGGCACACGGACACTGACGCACTGACTTTGACACCTTTCTCTGCGGTCCGCGAGACGGACGCTATACCTGACAAGACGTCCGAGAGAGTAGAGACCGCAGTGTTTGCTCTTCGACACTCTCTTGCTGAAGCTGATCGGGACGGACGTGCCGTCGGTCGAGCCGGACAATGACACTGTGACACTCGCAAGTGACATCACTTCGTACATCTGACAACGACAGCTACCTCTGACAACGACGCCGATACTTAACACCTGACATTTGCTGCTGTACTTCATTCGCTTTGAGTCTAACTTTAGGGATGTGATCTAGTTTCAATAATATTACCTACGAAGCAATGTGGTAATAAGTGTGTTATCTAACGCCGTGCTGTCCGACGCTGTGCTTTCATATCATGTATTTCTGACGCGCCCTCTGACATCTTTTTCTGCCGTCGTTCTCAGATCGCGCTGGACGTGGCGCAGGGAGCTCGGTTTCTGCACTCGCAGGGACTCATCCACCGCGATATAAAGCTGAAAAACGTCCTGGTAAGCTACAGTGATCCCTGCCCACCTACCGGCGCGATATTTATAACGTAGCTGCACCGGACCTGACCCAACGCTGATGTAATGTGCACTCTCCAACTCTGTAAATAGAGGCGTTATTGAGGTAGCGTGGGTGGAAGGTATGGTATATGGCTACTATAACGAGGTCGTGTCTTATATAATATGTGGCTGTTGACCTTGGCGACAGTATGTGGTCCCGTCAGCGGTTTGCTGCTGTAATATCAGCATGCATCTGTTTGTATGTACGAACTAAACTAACCATATCTGCACTCATTCCGTAAGTGAAGGGCAACTTTTGCCATCCCCGCAGCTGGATAACGCGAACCGGGGCAAGCTGACCGACCTGGGCTTCTGCAAACCAGAGGCGATGATCTCTGGCTCGGTGGTGGGAACGCCCATCCACATGGCGCCAGAGCTCTTCAGGTACGCTCGCGAGCGGCGACAGCCACGCACTTTTTGGGCTGTCGGGTTACGGTAGCAATTGAGCACGTTTATATAGGTGACCCTACGGTTCAGCTGGGAGGCTGCCTATCGGAGTGGTTCTCAGAGCATTTCCATTAATATGTATTTGGCTGAATTGAGTGTTACTCCTGTTTTCCTGTTTATTCTACTTTCTGGTCATTGGAACAATGCACCACCTCTATATTTACCGTTCGATACGCAGTTCAGTCCAGAAGTAGCTTTACAAAATTGGGTGATGCTTCATCCTGAAGACGATACCAATGTCGAAATATTATCTGCAATGCCTGCTACTGTTACATGAAAGGGCAGCTTGTATCTAAGCGGCCCTTTCCTTCAGCCCAGTGGATCTCCGCTGGGTCGGCTGCCGGGCTGGTGCACTGAGCTTCCTCCCGTTGACGTTTCAGCGGCCAGTACGACCACAGCGTGGACGTGTACGCGTTCGGCGTGCTGCTCTGGTACATCCTCTCCAACGACGTCAGGATGCCCGACGTGTACGAACAGTGCGACAACAAGAACGACCTCTGGAAGTGCGTCAAACGAGGTGAGCCCACCGTCATGACTTGGCCACAGGCCAGATCATCAAGCCAAACTGAAATCAAGCGAAAGCCAATCGAGACTGAAGTAAATGTCGCTGATATAACGTCATGAGTGCGAATTCCTTGCGATCTCTTCAGTAGACGAACTAAAATCGAGCTTTGGTTTGGGCCCATATTTTATTCATCGGCGTTTCACTGCGTTCCTGTACCGATAACTGCCGAGTGCTGCTGGCTGTCGCTTTCGATTGCCTGCTATAACTGATGCTGTTTTCTGACACTGCCTTCTGCTAGCTGTCCGTCATGCTTCCTGATTTGTCACTAGAGCTAGACCCTAGACTGTTGTGACCGTCTTTGGCTGTCTTTGAGTACCTTCGGTTATCGTCGCCTCGCTGCCCCCGTCCTCACCCACCGGCCTCCGCTCACTATCGCCCTCTCTCCCTCCAGGGCTGCGTCCGTCCCGGCCGCGCCACTGCAGCGACCTCGGCTGGGAGCTGGTGACGGCCTGCTGGCGCGGCGAGCCCCGCCACCGGCCGCTGTTCGGCGTGGTCGAGCTGAAGCTGCACCAGATGTTGGATCAGCTGGAGGCGGTGCCGGCCGACCAGCCGCCGTCGCCGCCGGCCGCCGAGGCGCCCGCCGCACTCGGTGAGAGACCGGTGGAAGTGCCGCTGGTCATTGGGGATCAGTGGCTGGGGTGTGAATTTTCGGGCGCATTGCTATAATTGATGTGGACATGGTTTAGTCCATGGTAATCCCCTTGTACTATGTAGATCATTAAAAAAAAAGATGAGAGGCATTTGCAAATTGTAGCCAAATTTCTTGTCTTTTATTGTTTTCCCGTATATACGAGCTTCAACGTCGAATAATAAAAGAGAACGTAAATAAAAAGCGTATGTACATCTAAATAAGCATAGATGGCGGCACTCTGTCTCCAGGGACAGTCCATGATGGCTGTGATGTGATAACAGTCCATTATTCGACGGTAACGCTGCTCCCTCGGGCCGTTGCTATGTGGCAATATCTGACGTCCCCTCCCCTCCCCTTACAGACGGGAGTGCCGTCATACCGTGCTGGTCGTGAGGCGGCCGGCGCGCCCTGCCGCACCCTCCCCTGGCTGTGACTGGACTCTGTCCATGCTAACCCTGCGTCCTGACGGTGTTAGGAGTGGAATCGAGACTGGCGCTACACCGCGTGTGTTTCAAGGAGAGTGGCGCTTTTGAAGTGTGTGAAACTGAGTGTGCAATGAAGGATCTGATGGCTTTGGTTAATGAAAGGAATCAGAAATCGAGGTTTCTTGCTTGGATGTTGGATGATTGTAAAGTACCTGTCTTAGTTTTGTTCGATGACTTGTGTATCATGTTCTACGATTAGTGTTCGACCTCAGTCTAGTTTTACACTATATTTCATGAATTTTTCTTCATGATTGCCATTCCGATTACTTGATTTAGTGCCACCTGCCAATTGCCATGGTGGCTAACCTGTCCATAAAGTGTCATGTTTTCTACTGTGGGAAATCTTGATTGTTCCTCTGTGAGCGCTAGTTTGTATGTCTGTGTGTAGCTGTCGTATCTTGTAACCAGTGCCTAACACGGCAGTGAAAGCTGTGCGACTCAGGATGAAGGCTGGATGACCACGGGCCTCTGTAGGTGGCAGGACGCTTCAGGCTTTCTGCGCTGGACTGAGGCCGTCCTAGTGATTCGCGACTGCTTGCTGGCGCCACAGTCGTATCGCACGGCAATACTGAGGTGTTCCTTCCGGTTGATTGGATGTTCCGGGCTTCCGGGCTTCTGGGGGCGCCGTCCGTGCCTTCTCAAGTGCCGCTCGCATGGAAGGATCATATGGCCTGGCTGGCCCGCGTTCAAGTGTTGTTCTTTCGAGGTAGGTACTTAAAGGTCTGACTGGTGGCTCGCGAGAGAAGCTGGTTCGATTGTTGTGGCGTTGTGCGTCCGTTGTTGGTGCGTTACGAGAGAGACCGATATTTGAAATCAACGATCTGCCGTCGTGCGCGTTCCTTTTATCGGGTGTTGTATGTGTGAGACAGTGCCTCCCTGAACGGTCGCACGTATGGGCCTAGGAGTTGATAGCCACCTGACCGCCAGCCGCTTTTTACATTGTTTGGGGGCGAGTTTTACGTCGGGCCGATGTGTGCCTGCCCACAATATACGAGACAGTGAGTCCAAGTGTGATAAGCTGAGGAAGTTTGGTTCTAAAATAACTCGCCCTGTGCCTTCCGTCGCCGTCTCATGATCCTACTAAGCTCTAGCTCAGGGGTCGGCAAATGGTGGGGCATGCCCCCTTTGGGGGTAATGGAGCCCTTTCGGTGGGGGTAATGAGGGATTCTGAGAAAGCCTATCTTTTTAGAGTTTGTAGCTCCAGTGATGGAGCCATCGTGACTGTTGCATCCCAGGGTTCAAAGATTAGCCCAGGCCAAAGGCACAGCACACATTGATTAGATACCAATTTTCACGTTTCTGCTCGCCTCACCATCTCACCCCTCCGTACAGTCGTACAAAAGCAGCTGCAAGTTTTAACCGTCGCCCGTCTGTTGGCGTTTCAACAGCCGCTAACGTAAAGGGGAGGAGTCGATCGGACCCCCGCGGCCTCTCGGACTCTGATATGGAGCTGTGCATAAAAAAGACGAGCGTCGAGCGTGCTACCCGTGACAATAGGAAGCCGCTGCTGCCCATTTTTAAGGTCCTTGGTCATTCCGTCTCATTCAAGAGGGCAATGACAAGTGTCGAGAAAATCGGGACCCGCTATAACTTCTTGAAGTGAGATTTTATGGCTCAAGATGATCTCCAGAAAAAGCTCATAAGCCAACGGTCATTATGGGTCCAGAGGCCAGTTTTACCAACAGAAAAATAGCCGCCTGCCGGAATTTTTGCCTAAAGATCGTTTCACATATGGAGCGTAAACGGTAAAGCCCTATCCGCTTACGAGCCAATCGCGTTTACGCTCCGTATGTGAAGCGGTCTTGAGGCAAAAATTCCGGCAGGCGGTTATTTTTCTGTTGGTTTAAACTGGTCTCAGGTCATGATATTTTCCGGGCTGGTAAAAAAAAAAAATGATGGGCTCGAGGGTACAATTTGGTCGTGATCCAATGCCTTTTACGTGAGCTTTTAACGAACAACCACCCGCCGCCCCTATACGTACAAGGGTTAAATGGGATATAGCATAGGCGGCGGAACGGGGGCACCGGGCGGCGGGCACCGTGCACCTTTTGATTTTTGCATTTTAACATTAGCCCTATGGGCGTTGCATGGAAAGAATGGGACCAAAAGTCGGCAGTGCCCCCCCCCCCCCTTAATTGAAGGTGTTCCGCCGCTACTGGGATATAGGTATTAAATGTTTTGTGGAGGAAGTGTCATGTTTTAAATTTGATGCATTGGAAATGCACAAATACCCAAAGAGTTCCAGGACGGTATGGAATTTCAGTAAACTTGGTTGTGTCAGCAATGGGGTCTGGTAGGTAGGGGTAATGGCCCTGCCTGGCGCCCAAAAAGGGGGCACGACCCCGAATGACCTGCCGACCACTGCTCTAGCTATACTCTAAAGGGCTCTGGTATCGCCCTCGCCCTGCACACGGCGGTAATCATGTAGTCAACCATTTTGAGTGACCTTAACCCGCGAGTTGCTGGGGGGGGGGGGCGTTAAACGCCCCCACTTTTTTCGCCGGGCCATAGGATAAAAACGGCGCGCCGCAGGCGCGCCAAATTTTGGGTACCTGTAGGGAATTGATTGAAGTTTATTGTGACAATGTTTCAAAAAAATCGGTCGGAAAATTTTTGAGATATCGAGGTTTTAGTGACGTCATGATTTCTGAGTTTTCGACCAAAAACGGCATATGTTCAAAAAATCATATAAAATCACAGAATAGACATACAGACATGCCGTAAACGCCATTAGACTGCCAATACCATGGAAAATCAAATGGGTATCTTCGATTATTGATTATCGTTCCGCATTTTCCAAAATCTTGAACTGAATCTTGGCAATTTCTCGTGACTACTTCACGACCATGATACATGAATTTCTTAAATTGAACTTTTTGAGCCAAACACGTACACATATGATAAAATGAATGTCACCATCGTGTTCTTCGCCCAAAATTACCCATAAAACATGTGTCACAGGCTGCGAATATCAGTTTTGATTTTTGGGGATATGTGCTGTGCCTACCCGGTTGACCTGACCTTGACCCTGACCTATGCTTGACTGACCCCTACATGGAGCTGACACTCTTGTAGGCCTTATATGATGGATTGTGCACCGTTTTGACAGAGTTTATGACGAGAGGCGCCCATTGCGAAGTCCTGAAGTCAATGCTACTGAAAGCCCGATTTCAGGTGTTTGACCTGACCTTGACCCGACCTGTGACCTCAAAATTCAACTTTAAAGTACTCATTTGAAGCGTCTCGTCGCGTTCTTTCGTTTGCCGCCTCGTGCGTTTCGCTGCGCCTATTGGTTCTCGAGTTATCGGCTGGGGGCGTTTAACGCCCCCCCCCCCCAGCAAACGGTGGGTGGCGAAATACCCCAGCAACTGCCGGGTTAACCTTCCAGGCGGTGGGGGGACGGGCATTTACTGCCCCCCCCCACCGCTTTTTTGCCCCCCCCCCCCTTTAGTTTTTTCGATATATCTCGAGAACCGCTGCGCCGATCGTCACCAAACTTTCAGTACCCTCCCGGGAGTAGCTAGCGCACATGGTGACCAAAAATTTTTTCCAAAGGCTATGATAGGTTGGCCGCTAATGACGTCAGAGTGACGTCAATTCTGCCATTTTCGACCCAAAAAAAGGGTTTCGCGGGAAGAGCTGTCAGGCCTACAGCTTTAGAGATACAGAAAAATGTTTCAGACATAAAAGGTGTGGAATGAAGAGGGCTACGAAACTGCTATTTCGGTTTTTCGATTTTTTTTGGCTTTTGATCCCCAAAAATTAAAAAAATAGATTTTTTGAAAATAATAGCCGAAAAATCCAAAAAAGTTTTTTGAATTTCGAAAAAACGGAATATATGTGATAGTCCCTACCGCCTTCTATCTACATACCAAATTTGAGATCGATACCTCTTTTTTTGGCCAAGTTATAGCGAAAAAACTGTTCAAAATTGATGACGTCAAATTTTCAAACTCAATTTTTAGCAATTCTAGACCTCGTAGCGCAGAACAAAGACCACCATTAGACTCCCCGTGACGAGCTGCATCGAATCAATACCCATTTTATGCAAAAATATCAACTTTGAAATTTGACCTTTTTTTACCTGACCTTGACCTGACCTCCACCAGAAAGTGACCTAAACCGTACCTGATGGTCTTATAACCAACACCATTGAGTTGGAAATGAAAACCTGGCCATAAAACATGCATCGCACAACCTTAGTAAAGTTGGGTTCGTGTGGTGACCCTTGGTGACCTTTGGTGACCTGACCTGGTATGACCAGTGACCTCTAATAGCAACATATGTACTAGACAACTGACGCCCTATCGCTGATTTTCGACAAAATGCGTTTTACTCGGTGTTACAGCGCTTTCCCTAGAAGCCCCGTGAACGGTGAAACATTTTATCTTTGACCTGACCTGTGACGTCATCGGTGACCCCAAGGTCAATGAAATTTGGTTTCCTTCGACAAATTTGACAGGGCTATCGAACGCCGTTTGAATTTTCCGGATCCGTCCAGTAGTTTCGGAGATACGAGGGGGGGGGCAAAAAATGTCCCCCCCCCCACCGCGCGGAAGGTGGCCAGGAGGCCCACCGCCTGCCGGGTTAAGGCCCAGCCTCGAATAACTGGCTATGCTAAACCGGCAAGCATCAAGAAGTATCGTTCAGCTTGGCCGCCGTAAATTCCACAGGACAACACACATACCGGGCATTATTTCTCATTCAAATCCTTAGATAACCTACTCATAGTATCTGAAACTCTCATCGACAAACCACAAACAGCCGTTCACATACACATCACTGTATTTTACCACCCTCCCCGTTTTATCAGTCCCAGCTATATACAGCGGCGTACACCGGCCGCGATTCGCGCACTACTTCTTGGGCGGCACCCAGGCCTCAACCTTGGGTCGCGTGGTTGAGTAGGGGTAGTAGGCATCTGCGGTGCCCGAGGGGTTCGCTTCGTGGTCGCGCTGCCAGGCGTACCGCACCGGCGGCTTCTGTGGGGGAAGACAGGGGCGGGTTGGCGTTAGAAAAGGAGGTGAAAAAGTCCAGCATCTCGTCCGCCGTAGCAGCGGCACACAGCGATACGGTCATCGATATGAGAGAATGGGAGCAGCTCTATATCTGTCGCGACTTTTGACAAATGATCAATTACAGACGAATCATATTCTAACTGGTTCGTTTCCGTCTGAACACAAATGTGCACAAGTCTTTACACAAACATGGATTCACCGCCTTAGATCGATCGCTGGCTTTCACCAAGGTCTACTCCACACCACTGCAACATCACAACTCAGTACTCACAAAGACCTAACACATCTCCTCTGGACCAGTAACTTGCATACTGGGTGGGGCGCAGACCTGCAGTGCACATTGCAACTTCACACCTCGGGTACCACCCGGACCACAGCTGATCCCCTCCTGAGCCAATCTGACTGGGGCCTGCCGGCTGCCCTGCACCGCCGGGTTATTGTTCCTAACCACAGCACCTCTCCCCGGCCACACATCTGTTCTGAACGACCAACCTGAATGGGTGTCTCGTCGGTCTTGTAGTGGAGCCAGCCGAACCACTCTGCCGGCACCATGCTGCCGTCGTAGTCAGTTCCGACGGCCGGCGCGTACTCCACCCATCGGTTACGACCTGTCACAGACGACGGAGACGTCGTAGGTCACTTCAGGCAGAGTGGGACCACATAGTCGCTCAAGATGGCGAGGGAAGAGCCACAAACGACAGCGACACTTTCGGTCATTCACGGCGGAGCAGAAATACGGTCACTGGAGACGGCTCGGAAAAGGCTGCAGATCACAGCGCCACCTGCACTCACCGAGAAAGCGGGGATCGAGATACGAGGGGCGGCGGACGCCACTTCCTATTGGAAGGTGTGTATTCGCCAAGTAGCCTGATAGTCAGTCAGTATCACACCAGTCAGCATAGGCTGAAATTGCTCATGTGGTGGTCAGCTGTATGTTTGTAGCTTCCCAAATGAGTATGTGCAAACGATTCCAGTTTATTATAGT